AATGTGTCCACCTGAGAGTGGACACACATAGGGATTCTTCTGGTGTACCGACCACCCCGCTGCACCTCAGAAGCCCTACCTGAGCTAGCAGGGTTGATCTCGAGCCTGGCATTGGAGTCCCAGCGGCTTATAGTGCTGGGGGACTTCAATGTCCACGCTGAGGCCGCCCTTTCAGGGGCAGCTCAGGACTTCATGGCAACCATGGCAACTATGGGGCTGTCCCAAGTAGTATCTGGCCCTACTCACTGTGCGGGGCACACACTTGACTTGGTTTTCTGTCAGGGCTGGGAAGGTGGTGGCGTGGAGGAGCTATCCATCTCTCCTTTGCCATGGACCGACCACCACCTGATCAGGTTTAGACTCTCTGCAACTTCCAACCTCCGCAGGGGTGGTGGACCCATTAAGATGGTCCGCCCCAGGAGGCTTATGGATCCAGAAGGACTCCTGATGGCTCTTGGGGATGTTACCTCTACCTTGGATGGTGATTCTGTCGATGCCCTGGTCGCCCGCTGGAATAGTGAGCTGACCAGGGCAATAGACACGATTGCTCCGGAGCGCCCCCTCTTGAGTCGCCGAACTAAACCATCTCCTTGGCTCAATGAGGAGTTGGTGGAGCTGAAGCGAACAAAGAGGTGGCTAGAGAGCGTGTGGCGGAAAGAGCCCAGCGAGCCAAACCGAACACGCCTACGCCTTTTCCTAAGGGCGTATGGCACGGCAATAGAGGCTGCCCAAAATGCTTTTTACTCGGCCAATATTGCGTCCGCAAGGAACCGTCCGGCAGAGCTGTTTCGAGTAGTCAGAAGGTTGTTGAATCCCACCCCTCAGGATGGGTCCCCTGGCGACTCGGCAGCCCGCTGTGAAGCGTTTGCTCAGTACTTTGCGGACAAAGTCGCTTTGATCCGTTCGGGCTTTGACACCACATTAACGGCAGTCTCTGAGGATGTAGCAAAAGCATCTGCTTGTCCAGTTTTCATGGATTCGTTTCGATCTGTTCAACTCGATGAGGTCGTCAGGGTTCTTGGAGAGGCGCGGCCTACCACATGCATCCTAGACCCCTGTCCTTCCTGGCTGGTAAAGGAAGCCAGAGGGGGGTTGGCAGAGTGGGTGAAGGTGGTGGTTAATGCCTCCCTTCGGGAAGGCAATATTCCAGCCAGCTTAAAGCAAGCTGTTATAAAACCGCTGTTGAAAAAGCCATCACTGGACCCCACTCAATTTGTCAACTTTCGGCCAGTCTCCAATCTCCCCTATTTGGGCAAAGTCCTGGAACGTGTGGTGGCCTTGCAACTCCAGGAATTCCTGGTAGACACTAACTATCTAGATCCGGCACAGTCTGGCTTTAGGCTGGGACATGGTACTGAGCCAGCCTTGGTCGCTTTAGTGGATGATCTTCGCCGGGAACTAGACAGGGGGAGTGTGTCCTTGTTGGTTCTGCTGGACCTCTCATCGCCCTTCGATACCGTCGACCACGGTATCCTCCTGGGACGCCTTGCGGGGATGGGCCTTGGGGGTACTGCTTTGCAGTGGCTCCGGTCCTTCCTCGAGGGGCGTTCCCAGAAGGTGTCACTAGGGGACTCCTGCTCGACTCCACGGCCGTTGCACTGTGGGGTCCCGCAGGGTTCAGTACTGTCCCCTATGTTGTTTAACATATACATGAAGCCGTTGGGAGAGATCATCCGGAGTTTCGGGGTGCGGTGTCATCTGTACACAGATTATGTCCAACTCTGTCACTCCTTTCCACCTGCTACTAAGGAGGCTGTTCAGGTTCTGAACCCGTGCTTGGCCGCTGTCACGGACTGGATGAAGGACAACAGATTGAAACTCAATCCAGACAAGACAGAGGTACTCCTGGTCAGTCGTAAGACCGAACAGGGTACGGGGTTACAGCCGGTGCTGGACGGGGTCACACTCCCCCTAAAGGCACAGGTACGCAGTCTGGGAGTTCTCCTGGATTCATCGCTGAGTCTGGAGTCCCAGGTTTCAGCGGTGGTCAGGGGAGCTTTCGCACAACTAAAACTTGTGCGCCAGCTGCGTCCGTACCTTGGGAGGGCTGACTTGGCCACGGTAGTACACGCTTTGGTTACATCCCGCTTAGATTACTGCAACGCTCTCTACGTGGGGTTGCCTTTGAAGACTGCCCGGAAGCTGCAGCAAGTCCAACGCGCGGCAGCCAGATTACTAACGGGGGCTGGGTACAGGGAGTACACCACTCCGCTGTTACACCAGCTCCACTGGCTGCCAATTAGCTTCCGAGCACAATTCAAAGTGCTGGTGTTGACCTACAAAGCCCTAAACGACTCTGGCCCAGTTTACCTGTCCGAACAGATTCTCCCCTACAAACCATCAAGGTCCTTAAGATCGTCCGGGGGGGGGGGCTGCTCTCGGTCCCACCACTGTCACAATCGCTTTTGGTGGGGACGAGAGACAGGGCCTTCTCGATGGTGGCCCCTCGGCTTTGGAATGCCCTCCCTCTGAAGATTAGAACCGCACCCTCCCTCCTGACGTTCAGAAACCTAACAAAGACCTGGCTTTGGGACCTGGCCTTTGATAACTGAGTCAATGTGGGCTTATATGGAAGGAGCATGACTAACTGTGAACTACGACTAATGTTCTGACGACCTGGCTTATATATATCTGTGATGTTGATGATGTATATTGTATACTGTTCATTGAAATATGTTTTTAATGTTTTTTGATAATGCATTGTGTGTTGTAAATTTGTATTTGACACATGGTGTGAACCGAATCTGAGTCCCTCTCGAGGTGAGAAGATCGGTATAAAAAACCTCTAAATAAATAATAAATAAATTAAAGTGGTGTCAAACTGTGTTAATTCTACAGTGTAGATGCACTCTTAGACTACACACAGAGAACCACCATTCAACTTAACAGGATCCATTTTGAGTAAATGCGTATGAAGCTGCAAAATAAGGTCTAGCTCGGACAAGTATCAGCACTCTCTGTCCAACAGCATATTCACAGTGTTGCCAAGAGCCAGTGCTATCTAGTGGTTTAAGCACTGAGTATTTTTTACTATTTAACTGACCACAGTGTATTACTGTATATACTTCTACATACAGTAGTCTCACTTATCCAATCTTCGCTCATCCAATGTTCTGTATTATCCAACACAGTTTGCCTCCTGTCTGGATCCACTGCTGTTTCTCTAAGCAGTCAATGTTTTCAATACATTGTGATGTTTTGGTGTTAAATTCATAAACACAGTAATTGCTACATAACGTTACCTTGTTATTGTACTGCTTTTTCTGTTGATTTGTTGTAAAACATGATATTTTGGTCCTTAATTTGTAAAATAATAATGTAATTTGACGTTTAATAGACTTTTCCTTAACCCCTCCTTATTTTCCAACACTTTTGTTTATCCAGCGTTCTGCTGGCCTGTTCATGTTGGAGAAATGAGAATCTACTGTAACTCTAGAAATTTTAGTCCAAAATTCACCCCCTCAAAAATGCAGGGTCAGCTTATTCATTGGACAGTGTAAGTATTATACCTTAACTCTTCATCAAGAAAACAACCACACTCTTCTCTGAATAGAGGGTGAAAAGCAAGAGCTTAGTCTATTCCTGGAGAACCTAAAAGAAGCACTAACTTTCTTCCTAATCAACTTTCTCTGCTGCAATGTCTCTTCTGACCCTTTTGAATGGTTGGACAGGAAAATGGCATTGGTCAGGGACAATTTGCTACCTGGGGTAGTGCTGGTGCTTTCTCCTTTCTGAGGAATGCCGCTTGACATATCTACAGGTCATATCAAAATTTTGGCCCCAAATCCTGCCGTTGGCTTATTCACAAGATCAACTTATACATGTGTATATATCAGTGTTTCTCAACCTGGGGGTTGGGACCCCTGGGGGGTTTGTGAGGGGGTTTCAGAGGGGTCACCAAAGACGATCAGAAAACACATATTTCTGATGGTCTTAGGAACCGTTTTGGCAGAGAAGGCTGAAGATCTCTCTGGCTGTCCTCATCCTTGTTGGTGTTGGTGAATGACAACCCCAGAACTCAAAAACAGCCCCCCCCCAACCCCACCAGTAGTTAATGTTGGCCATGTCGGTAGTGTGCCAAGTTTGGTGCAGATCCATTTTGGGCTGGGTTCAGAGTGCTATTTGATTATAGGTTAACTATAAATCCCAGCTACTACAACTCCCAAATGTCAAGGTCTATTTTCCCCAAACTCTATCAATGTTCACATTTGGGCATATTGAGTATTCATGCCAAGTTTGGTCCAGATACATCACTGTTTGAGTCCACAGTGCTCTCGGGATGTAGGTGAACTACAACTCCCAAACTCAAGGTTAATGCCCAACAAATCCTTCCAGTACTTTCTCTTGGTCTTGGGAGTTCTGTGTGCCAAATTTGGCTTGATTCTTTTGTTGGTGGAGTTCAGAATGCTCTTTGATTATAGGTTAGCTATAAATCCCAGCAACTACAACTCCCAAATGACAAAATGAACCCCCCCCCAACCCCACCAGTTTTCAAATTTGGGCATATTGGCTATTTGTGTCAAATTTGGTCCAGTGAATGAGAATATACCCTGCATATCAGATATTTACATTACGATTCATAACAGTAGCAAAATTATAGTTAAGAAGTACCAATAGAAATAATATTATGATTGGGGGCCACCAACACATGAGGAACTGCATTAAGGGGTCACTGCATTAGGAAGGTTGAGAACCACTGGTATATATGATATTTTTATGTTGCCTTCTTGCGAGGTACAAAGATTTCTCATGCTGTGTACTGAATTTTGGTCAATCAAATTGGGGCAATTTCCGTTTATTTTTTTACCAAAATGCACAAACTTCCTCATATTTTGTATTTGTATAGAATTTCAGCTTTTAAAATATGTGAATGTTTTAAACCAAGAGATTTTCCCATCCCGTTCCTGAACTCCCAAACCTCCCAACCGTTGAATGCAGATAATTGGCATTCACGAGAGAAGCAGGTGCACTGCATTCCACATATTGCTCTATTTAAAGCTTCAGAAAGCTCAGAGATACATCCACAGACTCAAATATTAAATCTGTATTGTTTAGACACACAACAGAGGAATGGCACAAACAGGTACGCTGTTAAGAAGCCAAATGTTTTAGACATATTATTCATGTGTGTCTATGATTCTCTCTGTCCGCCTGTCCGTCTGTCCGTCTGTCTGTCTGTCTGTCTGTCTCTCTCTCTCTCTCTCTCTCTCTCTCTGTATATTAACAAATAGCCTGGAGATGCTTCTAGTTTTCTGCTTTAAACTTGTGTTTTCTGTATTTTTCTAATTTTATTGCAACCACAACTATTATAAACCTAATACACATGAGGTTTTTAATGTTTTCCCCCTCTTCCTCAAGAATCATTTCTGTAACTTTTAAAACATCCTTTGCAAAATGAAAATCCTTTTCTTCTAAAGTAAATGTCTTTAAAATGAGCAGCCATAGCAAATATGTAAGAAACCAATGTGCATGTGAAGATGATATTTTTGATTAGTAAGCCAGTCCTTCTGTGTTTGATCTGTGTGCGCACGTGTTTGTGCAGGCATGCATGCATGCTTAGTGGGGGAAAAGCAGCTAGTTTCACAAAGAGACTAGTTTTTCCTTACAAATGGTTAAAATCTCAGTAAAATCTCAGGCTTAGTGTTCTAAACCTTACATATTTATTGCATTTATATACCACATTTTTCTCAAAGAGAGATCCAGGGTGGATTGGAGGATGGCAACAGTAATATTCTTCTGAATAAAACTGCCAATAAAATACTGTTAGAAAGTTGTCCTATCAACAACATAGGACAGGGTTGCTGTACATGTATCTAATTTGCATATTATGGAATTATTATAATTATGCACATTATATATATTCTAATTAATCAATATATTTTAGCTTTTGTCCAATTTTTACAATAATGACAGTTTAAAGAGAACTACTGTATATACTTGTGTATAAGTTGATCACATGTATAAGTTGAACCTGGGCTTTGGGATCAAAATTATGGATTTTGACATGACCCATGGACAAGTTGAGGTCATTCTGCATATATATGCAAGTCTTATGAACTTGTTTTACATTATTAATAAGATCTGCAAGTCTTATGAACTTGATTTACATTATTAATAAGCTCTGACATTAGAAAAATATTAAAACTTTTAAATAATAAAAACTGGTTTTATTAGAGAAAAGACAGAATATCATCACAAGAATAAAGCAAAAACTCAACAGGTTGAGGACTGAGGCCTCTTGGGATATCGATTCAGGCAAATTGCTCTGTATTTGTTTGCACACTAATCACTGATATGCATGTATTTCATGATTCCCCTGAAACAATAACTTTCCCAGCCAGCTGCTCATGGAATCATGACTTATGATGGATATCTTGGTGTCTCAGGCCTTTCATTACTATTCTTCAACTAACTTGGATTTCAATTAAGGAGTGTACTGTACAACCTTGGAATAATTGAATCTGAGAGATGGAAGGAATTACAAGGCCTACCTACACCAACCTTCTGCCACGAAACACTGCTAAGGCACCCTTAAAAGATAGCCATCAAAATATCGGAACTATCAGAACTCTGTGTGTTGTTGAAGGATCAGAACTATATCTTTTAGCATTATTTAATTAGTCATCTCAGTAGCTGCTCTCAAGTTGAGGAGAAGTTCAGGGAAGTTCAGTTGCCTTCTCTCGTCTGTCTTCTGTATGTATTATTTTATTTATTTTATTTAGATACCACCTTTCTCCTGAAGTAAGACCCAAGACAGACAAAATCAGTTGAAACAATATAAATTTTAAAAAGAATTTTAAACAGTATACAATTATTTTAAAGAGATACAAAAGTTAAAACTATAAAAAATTGAACACATACCTCTGTTTCCTTCCTGAGAATAATTACATATGAAAAGCCTGCTTGAATAGAAATGTTCACCTGCCAGTGAATGGAAAACAGGGAGGTTGCCAGCCTAGCCTCCCACAGAAAAAGGTTGCAGAGGGCGGGAGGGCAGGAGCAGCCACTCATGTTCTCACCGGGTGAGTTAGTGATGGTGGCGGAACTGATACAAAACCCTCACCTGTAGATCTTAGAACTCTGGGAAGTTCATATGGGGCAAGTCAACACTGGGTGTTAAATACAGGGCCTGGAGATGGTTAGAGTATACACACCTTGTTGAACCCACTTCAGTGCTTATTTATTACTGCTTTGGCATCCACGTGGTCCAGCCAAGCCGAGACTACATCAGACTCACTGGACCATCACTTTGGCCTCTGCTATGCCTCTTCATCTCTTACCTGCAGTCTAACCTCTCATTTCTTTAGCCATCCTGCCCATATCATCAGTTTGCACAAACTGAAATGAATTCATTAGCCTTGGGCACCAGAAACTAAGGTTATATCCACCAGACCTTTATCAATTATACCACCCAGGTTGGAGAAGATCAATTTGCTTTTATCTACAAAGTGTCATGAGTGGTCTACATGATGCTTCTGTGACACATAACGAAAAGTCCTTGGCTACTCCAGATAGCTCTGCTGCAGATCATTGTGCAGATGCAAGTGCAGCAAAGAATAATGATTTCTTTGATACCACCAGTGCCACAGAATAGGTCTACCAGTGGGTTCTAGTTGGATCAGAGTCACTCTCATGTTTCATCAAACTCACTCCAAGTTTTCTGCCACTGATGCTGAAGTCCCACCATTTCCTCTAATGATCCATGGGGAATTGAGCTCCTTGAGTCACTAGGTGGCTCACTTTTCATATATTACTTCATGGGAGGACATGCTTATTTATTTATTTATTTATTTATTTATTTACATCACTTATATCCCGCCCATATCAGCCCGCAGGCGACTCAGGGCGGTCTACATATCGGCACAATTCGATGCCATCAATACAATACAAAAGCAAAAACAGTTAAGTGCAATTATACAAAAAAGACAGTGCAATGATAATTTAAAAAGAGCTATATCCTCTCATTCCAATCCTCGTCCATTTCATCGTCTTGGCCGTTCCTGGGTCATTCTCCATCTCAAGCTTGACTATCTATTCCGGGGTTCCGAATGCCTGCTCGAAGAGCCAGGTTTTCACTCTCTTACGAAAGGTCAGGAGGGAGGGGGCTGATCTAATATCCCTAGGCAAGGAGTTCCACAGCCGAGGGGCCACCACAGAGAAGGCCCTGTCTCTCGTCCCCGCCAAGCGTGCTTGCGAAGCAGACGGGATCGAGAGCAGGGCCTCCTCAGATGATCTTAACTTCCTGGAGGGTTCGTAGGAAGAGATGCGTTCGGATAGGTAGGCTGGGCCAGAACCGTTTAGGGCTTTATAGGCTAAAGCCAGCACTTTGAATTGGGCCCGGTAGCAAACTGGCAGCCAGTGGAGCTGGCACAGCAGAGGAGTTGTATGCTCCCTGAACGCCGCTCCTGTTAGCAACCTGGCTGCTGCACGCTGGACCATTTGAAGCTTCTGGGCCGTCTTCAAAGGCAACCCCACGTAAGTGATGTTTAGGAGCCTTGTATTTTCTCTATTCCCAAAATCAGTCAAGACAGCAAGCAACCCCCTAACAGCCATCAAGAATCTATTGGATCAATAAACCCCATGGGTCAGACTGTTACAGCTCTGAAAATTTTTCCTCAACCTATTCATATAACATCAAAAAGGGCATATAAGCTGGCAAAACATATAGGCTGTAGAACATAAGATCAGTAACATAGAACATAAGATCAGTATCGGTGTCTGCTGGTTTTCTGTCTTGGAACAAAGGCTAAGGTTTTAGGCCTATAAAGACGGCTAGATATTCATTTTAAACCATGATTCCCAAACTTTGATCCTTTAGAGGTTTTGGATTTGCTTTTCGGCAGATTTTCAAGCTATTAGAGGTTGAATCTATGGCTACAGAATGTGTGGACGTGTAAATTGTTTTGGAAAGAAATGTATTATGTATGGCAAGTTACTTGTAACTAGTTATTTTCAAATTACCCAAGTGAGGGAAGAAAGACTGATAGAGCAGATGGGGAGTGATGACAGGAAAATTCATTTTCTCAGTCAAGTTGAACAACTTGTGGTCTTCCGGTGGTTCCTGGACTTCAGTCCCCATCATCTTCTATGATTAGCTATATGGGTTAAGGCTGATAGGGATTGCAACCTATCAACATCTGGAGGGCTACAAATAGCCTACTCTTTTTTTCTAAACCATGTATCAATTGATTGTTTTTCTAACAAGAATGTCTCTTTTGAAGACCCTCAGTCTTTGCCTTGATTTAAAAATTCTGCTATGTAAAATACATTCTTTATTTTCTCTCTTCAGTGACAATTCCATATTCTCAGTATCTTGTACCCCTTCTTCTTTTGATTGCCTGGATTGTGGGTTGTGTACTGACGGTTTATTTTGTCTTTTCATAAAAGAGGGTAAGTGATTTTCTGTTTTTATTGTTGCTAATTCCTGTCAAGTCAACTTTGATTTATGGTGGTCCTATGAATAAGAAAACTCAAAAACACCCTATCATCAACAGCCTAGGGCTTTAGCTTCCTTGATTTAGTCAATCTACCTGTAACGTGGTTGTTTTCTTTTACTTTTGTCTCCCACTTCACCAAACATGATAATCTTCTCTAGTGAGCTGTGTCATATCATGATATACCTGAAGTAGAATAATAGAATCATAGCATAGTCAAAATACCCCTGACAGATGGCCATCTAAGGTAAAGGTAAAGCTTTCCCTCTGACATTATAGTAAAATTGTTGTCCACTAAGACTCCAAGATCTTTTTCACATGTACTGTTTTTGAGCCAGGCATCATCTATCTTGTATCTGTTCATTTCATTTTTTTCTGCTTAAATGTAGTATCCTATATTTCTCCTTGTTGAAATGCATTTTGCTAGTTTTGGCCCATCCCTCTAATCTGTTAAGGTCATTTCAAATTCTGATTCTGTCTTCTGGAGCATTAACTCTCCCTCCCAACTTGGTGTCATATGCAGATTTGATAAGTGGGCATTCTACACTTTAATCCAAGTCATTAATAAAGATGTTGAACAGCACTGGGCCAATGACATTAGTCTTATGACATACCTGTAGTACAATAGTTTGATCATTCTGACTTCTAGAGGAGTCCCCCACCTCTGGAACACCCTTCCAAGGGAAATAAGGCAGGTCCCATCCCTCCCCGCTTTTTGTAAGAGTTTGAAGACCTGGTGGTTTCAACAAATCTTCGAGAGTGATAAGTGCTAGGTCAGCCCAGACACTGTCCGGACAAGATCTTGCCCCCCCCCCGCCCTATATATTACCCAGGATTCCATGGTATTGAACTATGACATTTAAAGTGGTGTCAAAATGCATTATTTCTACAGTGTAAATGTACCTTATTCGTATTTGATTTCTCCAGGTTACCAATGTATGCGCACTATAAACGTTATAACTACAGTTTAATTTTTTTTTTTTGGTTATGCAGGAATGAAGCGTTTTCAGAAAACCCTTGGAACAGAATGAAGATGCCTATTTCTTATTTTGAAAACACACCATGAAAATTATAATCCAAGAACATTACAATGAAGTTGCAATAGATGTACTTTCTCCGTTTAAAAATGACCCAATAACAAGAGCAGTTTTTAGATTTTGAATGAATTTTTCATTGGATGTTTCATGGCAGAAAAAAAAATGTTTGCACGTCTCTTTTTTATTTTGGCATTCAGCCTCTCCCCTCCAAACATTTCTGTGTCTGATCTGTTAAATGACAATGTTAAAATGCCACTTTGGTTAGTATTATAAATTGATTCTTGTATTAGTTTCATTTGTCGAATGAAAGTTAATTTTTCTTACACTATGCCTCTAAGCAATACGTTTCCTCATTCATATTCATTTTATTACACAAAAATTAGAAATAATGACCTGAATTCCTATAAAAGTCCTCTCAAATAATTGCTTACTACATAATTTTAAAGGTATTTTAATATTATTTATTAGTCTTCAGTGTACAGAGTTATAAAACATGTGGTCCTTTAGGTGTCGCTATATTACAACTTCTGTCAACCCTAGCCACTGGAGCCATGCAAACTGCCAACAAGTTTAAGTTTTTGTAGGGCTGTGGAGTGTTGTATTCATGCCCTATTTAGTGAACTTTCTATAGGCATCTAGCCCTATGCAATCATCAGCACAGCAAAAACACTTTCTTCAATACTGATTTGAAGCTGCATTAAATGGCCAGTGTAGATGGGACCTTCGTCAGGCCTTTTCAGCACTCCCCACTTCCTCCTCCCTTTTCTTCCAAGCTGTAGAACCAGCATTGATTCATAGATATGTTGACACAGTGAATTTTTAGACCTGAATTTCTCAACTTAATAGTTATGTTAAACTATCAGTAAAATCAAGAACAATTAAAAATAAAGCTACAGTATTAAAGAGAAGAACAATGAGTATAAAAAAAATACCAAGTAATAGTCCCTTTGGCTCTGGGAAGTGAGCCATCAATGCAATTGTTTTGTGTGCCTTCCAATCATTTCCAAGTTATGGTGATCCTAACTCAAACTTATTACAGGGGCCCTTTCCACACAGCTGTATAAAAATCCCACAATATCTGCTTTGAACTGGGTTATATGGCAGTGTGGACTCAGATAACCCAGTTCAAAGCAGATATTGTGGATTATCTGTTTTTATATTCTAAGTCAGTGCTTCTCAACCTGTAGGTCCCCAGGTGTTTTGGCCCACAACTACCATAAATCCCAGCCAGTTAACCAGCTGTTAGGATTTCTGGGAGTTGAAGGCCAAAAGATCTGGGAATCTACAGGTTAAGAACCACTTTTCTAAGTTATATGGTTGTGTGGAAGGGCCCTTGGTTTTCTTGGCAAGATTTGCTCAGGGTCCTTCTACAATGCCATATAATCCAAAATATCAAGGCAGATAATGTAGAAGGAGCCTCAGAGAGGGGTATATATTTTGCTTCCTCTGGGGCGAAGATAGTGTGCCTTGCCCAAGGTCATCTAGTAGGTTTTCATGGTCAACCAGACATTGTTGTCTACCTTTGAGAAATTATCATGAAACGTGTATTTTAAAATTCACAGAAACATGATTTAGCTTATGAGAAAAAAAATGCACATATCTAAAATGCATATATACACATATATTTAAAAATGTACTCATTGTACATAGACAGATACTAATCCCTGTTGGGATTAATTTCAAGATGGAAATCATAGAACCACAATGAAGGCATGTTTTGTTCATTTTCACGTCTGAATTTTGTTGAGAGAGATTTCAAACTCTTATACTCCATTTTAATACTGTTACAGACACCTGTCTTTTGACCTTTTCCATCCTCATCTGCTTTTTCTAATCTCCAGGTTTTGTTTTGTTTTTTATTTGCATAACAACCAACAAGGTCATGTATTCTGGAGAAGCCACACACTTATTCCCAACCTTATGATGCTATTATTGGTATAAACGGTTTGCTTTGATTTTGTTACTCCCCTAATGTACCAGTATGGCTTCCTACAGTTTATGTGCGTTATGGGGAGCTGACAGTGATGGCAAAATACAACACCGTCTGAACTCTGTGAGTGCAGCATTTTTTAAAAAATGAAGCAGAGTGTTTGAGGATTGGGACATCCATAGGGATACCAAGAAGCTTGTTTATAAAGCTATCGTCTTTCCAACTCTATTGTTCACCTGCGAAACATGGATTGTCTACAAATATCACTTCTGGAAAGACTCCATCAGCAAATCTCTTGAGAAGACAAGTGAACAAATGTCAGCATTCAGGAAGAAGCAAAGACCACCAGCACTGATGTAATGATCCTCCACTATCAGCTTTGCTGGACTGGCCACGTTGTTCAAATACCCAATCACTCTCTCCCAAAGCAGTTACTTTACTCCCAGCTCAAGAGTGGAAAACAGAATATTGGTGGACTATAAAAAAGATTTATATATAGACTTTAAATAAAAATTTCAGCAAATAATGAATGTCATGCAACCAGGTAACAAGCAACGTCTGCTGAAATTTCCTCTTTTCCATAATTATGAAAGGTACACAAAATGTTCACTCTAGCAACCCAACTTTTTCTCTTGCTCTATTAGAAGCTTGTTTAGTATGACCACTTCACTCCAATATTATCAATGCTCTATAATCTGTGATGTCCATCCCAGCATTTCAGACTACATGCCCTTTTATTAATATATTCTATCACACCAGTTTATTTCAATGTAAGTTATGACGTCAGTGAAATCAAATATAAACCAGTTTCAAACCTGCAGCTATATCTATTTTTGAACTGTTTAATAAAATCTGAAAGCAGTTGAGGCTTCATTGCAATTTATATGGCTTTTTGTTCATCTCCTTTATCATATTTGCCACCACATGGTGGGGCTATATGTTTCTGAAATGACTTTTTAAGGCAGCATATTTCATACATAACCTGTAGATGGCATTGACTTTGCAAGGGTACAGATGCTGTTTTCACAACAACAGTGACAAAATGTTTCATTTCTAAATCTTAATGGAAAGTAGAGGACTTAATTAAAATCTTTGAACATGAATTAGAAGTGTGAATCAAAATATTTTACTGGTGTGAAATAAGTTTGTGTTTCCTAAAGTCCCGCTTACAGTACAGAAAGAGTCACAGAGATTCAGAAAAAAAAGATGTAACCCAAATCCAAAACAAACGCAAACAATTCCAATGCCATATGTTTTCCAAAGGGAACTCAACACTCTTTAGAACCCCATATTTTCATAAAGCATGTTGAAGTTTTAAAGACATTCACAATCCTCAATTCCTTCTTCACATTTGGCCCCTTTAAACAAAATGGCTGTCTTTCTGCCATGATTTTGGTAATCCCTCTTTGTATGAACCATACTTTATGGACAGAATCAGAGAATCATAGAAAAATAGAGTTTGAAGAGACCACAGAGGCCATGTAGTCCAACTCCCTGTCATGCAGGAAAAGATCAATCAAAGTGCAATCAAAGAGTAGAAAGCTTTTGGGAATGTTATGAACATGAAAATGGATCTGTTGTAAAGGCTATCTGACTTGATAGTTCACTTTTGGGGGATTGGACATTTTAGTCATTTCATATTGGTAAAATTCTTTGTAAATCTTATTTATGCCATTGCAATTCACCAGCAGGATTCTGGATTACTGTCCACTAACAGGCGTTTAAATGACCATACTGAAATAGGTGAATAAGAAGATTTTCAAGCAATTTTTTACATTGTTATTAGTTATGTGTACATCCTGCCTGACCTCTGATGTGTGCAAATGACTTTCCCTCACCGTTTATTGCAACCCTATGAAGTATGTTAGAGAGTGTAAATGACCAAGGTCACCTGGTGAATTTCATGGCTGAGTGAGGATTTGGAGTGAGACTTGAGTGATTCAGGTCCAACATGCTAACTAGTAAACAGCACTTGTGTTGGTCTACCATGAGACCAATTGAATTAGTTGAATTATCCAGCACTTGGCAATTGGATAACTTTACCATCTTTCTATTTCAAGGTTATATGAGTATAAAATTTCTTCCCATCCTGTTGAGACAAAGCAAAGGAACTTTTCACACTTGCTGAAGCTGACCTGTGCAGCTGGTGAGCAGTTTTGCCCACCTGCTGCTGCTCATCATCATCATGCATTTGCTACCAAACGCACATGGCATGAGCTATACCTTTCTGCCTTTTAGAATCGGACCTTGGCAGAAATACAGTTTGCAATCCAATAATTCTCTGGTTGAGAGCATTCTGGGAAATGTAGCTTTAAAAATAACACAAGTCCTATTCAGAAGTGTAAATGAAATAAATGGAAGACCAGTGCTTTCCACTTTGACAATTTACAGCTATTGATGCCTACAGTTTTCACAACAAGCCATGTCTTCTGCCGCCCACTCACCTGATTGCTGAGCAAATTTCCAGTCAGTCCTTGTTGTGCCAGCTTCTTTCTCAGAATAAACCACACGTTCACCCATTAATAGCAAAACAATGACTGGTGCCTGCAGTCTGTATTCTCCAGCAGCCTTCACTTGATCTAATAGTTGCTTATAATTTCTAACCTTGTCTGCCTTGACCTTAGCATTCAGATTTTGATCTGCTTCTGCCCCCTCCCCACTTTCCAAGACTAATGTGGCTGCATAACTCCTGCCATCAATTACATCCCCCTATCTATAATGTCCTGTAATCAAAGCATGGGTTATGTTATAGATTCTGCACCATTAGCCATCAAAGGCCACTTCGTTAAGCTATAAGAATAACTCAACAACATAGTTCATCCTCTTTGGAATCAATTTGACTTTTCTTCTACACATGCATTAGTAAACTTAATTTAAAGGATTTTCAGATTTGATCTCATGAAGCTGAACTGGACAGGGAAAGATGTGAGTCCAATGTTTCTTCTGGCTTCCCTGTGCCAATTTGTACAAATGAGCCATACATAATTATTACTCAGGAAATGTCACTGAGTATATAGTTTACTGTAAAGTTTCTTTAACAAAATGCCAATTCTAAAAACCAGCAAACTCTTATCCACATGGATTAAGGTAAAGGTAGATGTTTCCCCTCCAGCAAAGGCATCACCGCCTTGTCGGGGCGCTGGAGCTTGAGCACCTCAATGATGTCATGAGCGAAACCGTGAAGGGACACCCAAGACGGGACGGTTGTGGCAGAGAGGTCAGACCAAGCGTGATCCCTGGGGAAGGCAATGGCAAACCACTCCAGTATCCTTGCCAAGAAAACTAAATGGACCAGTACAACCAGAGATATGTCGGTATGCCATTGGAAGATGGGACTCCCAGGTCGGAAGATGGCCAA